ATCTTACAATTTTCGAAATTAATCTCGATTAATCGATTTCATGGACGGCCGGGTGTAAAGTAGCACTTTACCGCCCGGTTTTGCGGGCGTAAAGTAAATTCTCTAATAGCTTTATGCTTGGTTAGACGTTACGGTCCATAAAAGCCTATTGATACATAAATAACTTGAAACTCTGTTGCGAAATAAAATTAGTACTTTTTCCTCGACTTTTTCCTCAATAGGGTATACCTACCATTACTTTCTCAATTTATTCTTCTTATTGCACCCCTCTTATTTTGAATCAAACGTCTGAAAAGTCCAGATTGCTTGGACTTTCGGAAACTTCCCAAACATCCTCGAACCCCCAAAATTACCTGAAAATCACGAAATGTTTCAGACTTCCCCGAACTTCCCAAACTTCCACAAATCTCCCGAACTTCCTCAAATTTCCCCAAACTTCCTCGAACTTCCCCAATCTTCCTCGAACTACCTAAAACTTCCTAGAACTTCCCCAAACGTCCTCGAACTTCCCAAACTTCCTCGAACTTCCCCCAAACTTCCTCAAACTTCCTCGTGTCTGTACACCAAACTTCCCACGTGATTTACCCCTCGTTTTGTTCCTAGAATCTGTGGTTGGAATATTTCTATGTATTTTCGGTACACCTTGTATATTTCAATCATCATGGTTCTGCGAAATTCAAATATTGAAAACCATTGTCACTATGAAAGCACTTCTTTCCATTACTAATCACAATCTAGTAGCCATGACCATGACAGGATAATGATAAGTTGTTATTAATGATTCGAGTGTTCAGTAAACACAAGAATTACAAAAAGATTGCTCAAATTCTCGGGCTTTATCATAACCTTGGACCTTGGATAAAAGAATCAGGTTCCGGCACAGCAATAATGCCAGTGTTTAGGACTAGGATGGGAATGTATTCACCTCCTGAAAAGAAAAGAAAAAATTAATTGAAATGACACAACAAATTGACTTTCCCCACTCTTGGTCTCTGGAATCAATCAGAATCGGCCATTTTCACGCTTTTTTCTGTATCACAGCGAGATTTTTTTGTTTACTAAATTTTATCGGACTTGTTCTACCAATGCAGAAGCCGAATTGACTCACACGTGACGAACCTTCCTCGTTTTTCAGCGATAAAATTTTGGTCGTTTGAAACGTCAATCATGTTGGAAGCCAGAATGATAGATGCATTGTTCGCAGCTTTCGCAAGCCGCTCGTATATTGTCTCAATCATGGAATATTCATACGAATACAAATCGTGATACTATTTTTCCTGGAAATATCCGTCATTTGACATACTCCAGCTTGCTGCTTTGATTCCGCTCATGACATTGTCCCAAAACCTCTCGCCTACGGCTCTAAAGTTTCCATTAACAATGTCGTTCGGCGAAATTATTTGGCAACAAGCTTTCGTAACAATCGCCGAACATTTCCGTCAAAATAATATCACTATGTGTTCCGTTAAAGCTGTTCCACACCGTCTCATGACAACTGAATTCCGCCAGATGGCGATTGTATAGACAATATGAATAATCACATTTTGAAGTGTTAAGCTCCTCCCACCTTCCTACAATCGGCAACAGAGGTACAACTGACCCTCCGAAGAGGTGATGTCAGGTATAGAAACTGATTTGCATAATCAGAGCGATAATTTCTAGAATTATTATTTATTCTAGTCTGCAAAACCAGATACTTTGGCTAAGCCTGAGAACTTTTATATTATCGATTCAGGTATACAGGGTTTTTTTCAGAAAATATAATCTCATTCATTGGCATTTCATATTATTTCTATACAATTTATAAAAATGTTATAATAAAGGTATTAGTAAGTAATTATTATGTATGTACATTCTGATATTTTCATTCCGTTTCTCGTTGAGTAATTTCCATTCCTCTTGGTACCCTGGCATCAATGATCTCTGGAAGAATACATCCTCTGTAGAATTTTGTCAATTCTGGAGTCATTTCATTCCATATATCACATATAAGTATCATTTAGTTATTCTGCTTCATAAATCCAGAAACCAGCAGACATCTGAAAACTTCTACTAGTAATAACACATCAGTCATGTATGGTTGAAACATGGATATTGGTCCTTCCTGAAACAAACAAAAAACTCATTATATGTAATAATTATGTCACACCAGGCCCACAAAAAAATAGGCATCTAGAAGATGGATACCTACATACCTATAATTATCCGGAATCTATCACCACTCTATAGCATGGAACTCCCTTTTATCACAGCATGCTGTGCTTTTATATTCAAACCTTTCTGTTTCAAATCATTGACTGGCTTCTCATAGATTTTTTGATAGCTTTTGATAGCCGCACCCAGCCATTGGGATACTCTATCAAGATAGATAGTGAATGGCAACAACTACTTATCAGGGTCATTTTGACAAATTGATATTTTCAGATTGGGGTGAACAAATATAATGAAATTATTTTTCAATATTTAAGAAAAATATAATCATGTTTCTACGAAGTACAAAGGATAAAATAACGAACTTAACTCTTTCATAAAAAATATTGAAGGAAAAGTTGTTCACTAGTGTTTACCCGTCGAAAGTCGAAAGATTTTTTTTCTCTATTGTGGGGGCCCCTTTTTTGTGGAGGCCCCGGGGCTGTAGCCCCGGATGCCCTCCCCTAAATCCGGCACTGACGATGTTCTAATGATGTCAAAGTATTAGTTTGCGTCACACCATTTTTTAACAACATCCAAGTCCCCAGATATAGTATCTTTCATACGTTCAGTATCTTTCCCATGCCAAAGGAGCGTTGTATCATCCGCAAAGATCGTAAAAATGCTTTCAATTGAAAGAGTAACCTGGTCGTTCAAATATACAGGGTGTCCGATAAAAGGAGGTCAATCCATTAACCACATATTCCTTGAACAAAAACAATATGAGTTTCTAAATATCATTTTTCATTTTAGCCCTTCATATTCGGTATACAGGGTGTCAAAGTTGGAAATTAAAAACTGTTTTTTTCTAATTACTCGCGTATTTGATAAGATATTAATCTCAAAATTGGTACATTACTTCAGCACAAAGAGTTACATCGTGTGAGGAAAACAAAACACAAAATAACTGTCAAATATTCAAGATACTGGGGGTCAAGTTCACACTTACCCCCATATTTTGTTTTTACGTGCGCTAATGACTTTCTATCTATTTTCCTTCAAGTGTTCAATCATTTTTGAGTATTTCTTGTTTCCTGCAAAATTTTGATTAAATCATTTGTTTTTAAGATAATTCGAAAAGTACTGGTTATTGTTTGATGCCTATGCGGCTTAGGTAATCTCATAATGTTCACATACTCCTATTTATTTCGTCGAAATTGAAAGAGGGCGTATCTTTTTACGTACGAAAAGGTAAATATGGAATTACCGGGTGCTCGGAGCAAATGTACTAAAATAATTTTTACAAAAAAAAAATTTAAAAAGTGTAAAAATTATTTTAATACATTCGCTCTGAGCACCCGGTATTTCCATATTCACCTTTCCGTACGTAATAAGATACGCCCTCTTCCAATTTCGACGAAATAAATAGGAGTATGTGAACATTATGAGATTACCGTAAGCCGCAAGGCATCAAACAATAACCAGTACTTTTCGAATTATCTTAAAAACAAATAATTTTATCGGAATTTTACAAAAATCAAAAAATACTCAAAAATGATTGAACACATGAAGAAAAATAGATAGGAAGTCATTAGCGCACGTACAAAAAAAATATGGGGGTAAGTGTGTACTTGACCCCCAGTATTTTGAATATTTGACAGTTATTTTCTGTTATGTTTTCCTCACACGATGTAACTCTTTGTGCTGAAGTAATGTACCAATTTTGAGATTAATATATTATTAAATACGCGAGTAATTAAAAAAAAAACAGTTTTTAATTTCCAACTTTGACACCCTGTATATCGAATATGAAGGGCTAAAATGAAAAATGGTATTTAGAAACTCATATTGTTTTTGTTCAAGGAATATATGGTTAATGGATTGACCTCCTTTTAGCGGACACCCTGTATAAGGAAAAGAATCGGGCCCTTAGATACAAAATTTCACGAATTTTTTAATTATAGAATATATGAACGCGTTTATGTATCTAGTAAGCCGGAATAATAATGATAATAATACCTACCTATATTGGTAAAGTCTATGTAATGTCAGTTGGAACAAAACATCACGGCGGGCCGTCGGTTCCTTTGAAAGTTCAAAGAGAGCGGCAACGCGCTCCGAAATTCCTTCCATGATCTGTTTCAACTGACTTTGGATATCTAAACTATGAATACATATTATTATTTTGTCAAAAGTACCTTCTTTCGTTGAGTTGTTTCATCAATTTAGATCCGGCAGATCTCTTATATGAACTCTTGATGGTGACTCATCTAAATTCATAGGGTTTGGAGTCACACGAAACTGTTAGAACATGCCAAATCCTTAGCATTGACGAACGGCGATTATAATCAAATGATACAAATTCCCGAATTTGTTCGAAAGGATTATAAGAAATAGAAAAATATAGTCCACTCGCCTATCTATTGTCAATTAAATTCCAGGAAGCGTCAATTCTATTTCAAAATAGGCACTTGAATATCAGAAAACATCAATTGTATCCCCGAATAGTCAATTGATTCTTTCTGGAATTCAATCGACTATTCTGAAATACAACAAAGGTGTAGTCAGGGCGTAGAAAATATTTATCTACAATTCTCTTTTTTCTTTCAAATAACTTATTCAAGCAAGGTGATGTTAGGTTCATCACTGACTAGGTAGGTATTAGTGAGAAATTTTTTTGCGACATTTAGAAAAATGTTCCATTCTCCTGTCTGTTGGCAGTGATGCTAACATAATAAACTCAAATTATTTAATTTCTATAACAGCCATAAATTTTCTCAGCCAATAAGTCCCCATACATAAACTTCTAAAGAATATTGATTGACTAATTGCATTGAGTATCACGAACTTAATTCAGTTTTTTTTTACAGGGCAGTTCAATCATGGAGGAAACTGAAGCAAGACTTGGAACTCAACAAATATCAGAGGCCTCAGATTTTTTATTTCTACCATTAGATATTTTCATAGTAGCCTTAATAGTGGGAGGAATTAGTTGGTACTTGTTAAATAAGCACAAGAAAACTATCACAGTATCAAGCGGGAGGTCATATTCTATACAGTAAGTTTTAATTTTTGTTTTTCTAATGTATCTGCAGGAAATATGTTTCACGCGGGATTTCAAGTGTTAATATCGGTTTACCTAGCTGTAAGCCTCTAAGCATTAATGTTGCACGAAAGTTTGAAGTCATATTCCTTTGGGTGTAAATAAGAAAACTAGTTCGTATAAGGTTGAGTGAGATCCGTGAGATGAAGGCTGAAGAAAAGTTCTGGAGATAGTGGTTGAATAATCAAATATAAAATAAATTTTCATGTGAATTATAATTTTGGAAAGATTCCATAAATAATCCCTGGTAGGAATCAATCGTTACTCCAAAGTGGAATACTGTTGTAAATTCTGAATAATACACAAAGTCATCTCCCCGACAATGTATTCAGGGGCATTCGTAAGGGGGGCAAAAGGGGGCCTCGTCCTCACTTAGATACTTCCTCAACAAGATACATTTAAACGTGTGAAGAAGTCCATATTGCTCAAAGTGGAGTGGTAGTGTTTGAGGGAAGAGTACATCTCTCTCTATTAAATAGTTCAATTGCACCAATTCATCTGTCATCTGTCTTGTTGACATCTTGTCATCCGGAAGTTTGCCGTTTAATCTTGTGACTTTTCGATTTTTCAGTGACAGCTAACCTCACTCAAGTCCTATTCGCGAGATTCACGAAGTGGACGACATCTAGGTTACATAATACGAACTTCAAACGGGGGGAAAACAAACTGTTGTCTATGGATAAAGTGCATAGACTACATTGCATTCAGCTTGCTGTAGTTGTAGTCAAACTTATCAATGACATAAAGTGTTGGCACTGTTGAGTTGGTTAATTATTTTACATTAATACATTCACGTTTAGTGTTTAGTGAACAGTGAACGGGTGAAGAATTGGAGATAGTTCAAACAATTCAAACTAATTATGACGAGCAAATCAATTGACATTTAAAAGAACAGCTACAAAATGTTTACAATACCCAGATTATCCTGCTTTGCATGAACAAATACAAATCCATTGTTCTACAGGAGTTCCTCTGGACCCCAACTTCAATTTTACTTCATGTGGGGAAGATTCCATCGTCGAAGTTTTTAGACAAAGTGCAAAAATGTGCCATTTGTTGAAGTCTTCTGCCTCACACAAAATCACATGATTAGCACGGAGAACTGCTTCTTCTTCCACTACTGGACGGCTTTTCCATTTAAATAAAGCGAAATATCTGCCAAAAGAACATCTGCAACAGGCGTTATTAGCGTTTTCGATCAAATATTGACAATTAATGTCAAGTAAAACTGATCACTCTTATCAGTACACAGTACACAAGCTAATAGCACTAATGGGATTGAGTGAGGATTGAGTTTGTTTTCCCCTAGTTTTGACGTGGCTTTGACATGGAACGATGAAAACCGAGCGCCACCTGGTAACATTGATTCCCGCGAATACTAATGTGGATTTTTCTAAATTTTGTTAACCTTTTGTTTTTTTACTTTATGGAAAACTCATGAGGTTATCTTAGAGGGTACTGTTACAAGTTTAGACTCTTGTAGTGACGTTATAAAACTTTGGCTGATGATGGGCTTATTATGAGCCCGAAATATGTCCCTCCCATTTGCAACTATGTTCAACTATTAAATGTAGTGAACATGATCTTGAGAATAACTCTTCCTTAAGTTACATTAGCATTTTTATTGACATAAATAGAGATAGAGTTAATTTTATCAACGAAGTAATTGATTAATTTGCTTCAGAATCTATTAGAAATCTATTTGTGTTCAAGCAAGATTATGACTATTAGCACATGCAACTTTTAATTGTTAATTTGTCTGTAAACAGACTGTGATGTCAATTTCATTTCTTTTTTTCTTGTTTTATTTCTTATAGAATAATAGTAGGTATTCCTGTAACTATGAAACTTCACATCTAAGTATTCGATGGGTTCCTCCATTGAGTGACTACTTCACCGGTTATATCAACTCCTCAGATTTTGATACAGGGTGAATCAAATAATCAAAAATATCAAAATATGCCACTGAATAACTAATACCCTATATGAGTTTTTGCATTCAAATTCAGTATGGGGGGATTTCAGCTATGCCTGAATCAAATGAGCTAGTCACAGTTTGGAGAAAACATAAAAATGCTCAATAGTCGTTTTTGAAATTTCGACCCCCTCAACAAACAAAAGTAGGCTTTGTAAATCAGAATATTTCAATTGTGTACACATTCTCAAATTGAGCTCGTCGAGTACTGTATTATCGAATTTTTGTTTTTGTTAATCGGTCGACGTGTTCCAAATAAAAAGGGTGTTGCGAGTTGAAATCGCACACACTATATAGGTCGTACAAAAACTGTTTTTAAATGTAATGAATATTCTTACTATTATTGTGGCTTGCCCCCTTTCTGAGATTATTTCTGCGGACTCCCCTGAATTCAAGATTCAAGACAATTGAGTAAAAAATTTAAAAAAAAAACGATTTTTCATGGAAATATTGTTACCCTGTATCTCAAAAACGGAGCAAGTTAGGACACATGTTCATATGAGCTTTATTTCCTAAAATATCACAAGAAATCGCCCTTTGAATTTGTTCGGTGTTACTCAGATACACCCTGTATATGTCCACCATTAGCCAAATAAGAAATCAGTCATGAAGGTGACAACATTTTTTGGTTTCAATATTCAAAATTACAAAAACATTGAAAAACTTATGATTATTGATTATAATTTCCCATTATCAATTTATCGAAGTGTCCCAAATGTTGAGGGGCTATTTCAAATTATATCCACCATAATGTTGTGTTTTGGGGTTTATCTTAGTTCTCGCCCGCGCTTTAAACAATAAAACATCAATTTTTCAATGCTTTTGTATTTTTCAATATTGTAACCAAAGAAAGTTTTCACCTTCATGACTAATGTCTTATTTGGCTGATGATGGAAATCTGAACTACACAGAAAACATCATTTGTAGTTCAGATTAGTTGATTGAAATTCAGAAAATATCAATGTTATTCAGATTAGTCAATTGAAATTCAGAAAGCTTCAATGGTAATTCAGATTGATCAATTGAACTTCAGAAAGCGTCAATTGAGATTCAGAAAGCGTAAATTGAAATTTAGAAAGTGTCATTTGTAATTCAGACCACGTCATTTGTAATTCAGATTAGATAATTACAATTCAGAAAACGTCAGTTGAAACTCAGATTAGTCCATTGAAATTCATAAAATGTCAATTCTAATTCAGAATGGTAAATTGAAATTCAGAAATAGTCAATTGAAATTCAGAAAGTTTCATTTGTAATTCAAAAATATTGAACAGTGTTACCTTTGCTTGTAGCGTAATAAATGTTATCAATTACTAAGCAAATTTTTTTTCGGAAATCACGTTTTCTATTATAACTTCTCCAATTCACCTATTAAAAATTAATTCCAATTCACCATCAATGAAAATAATTTCATAATTTTCAAGTCGCTGGGTCTACATGAATACCTACCTAAATCCATCAGTCTGAATTACAATTGACTCATTCACAGTTACAATTGATGATAGGTATCTGAGTTTCAATTGACGCTCTCTGATTTTCATTTGACTAATCTGAATTACAATTGGAGTTTTCTGAATTTCACTTGTCTGATCCCAATTACAATTGATATTATCTGAATTTCAAGTTACTTATCTGAATTACAAATAACGTAACCTGAATCACAATTGTTACATTCTGATTTACAAATGACGATATCCAAATTTCAATTCACGCTTTCTAAATTTCAATTGAGAAATCCGTTAAGTATACAATTGAAGTTTCGCTTTCTGAATTTCACTTGACTAATCTAAATTGCAATTGATATTTTCCGAATTTCAATTGAATAATCAGAATTACAATTGACACTCTGAATTTCATTTGATAAATCTGAATCACAATTGACGCTTTCTAAATTACAATTGAAAAAGGTGTAGAATCAGCCATTTAAGTGTAAACGGGCTGATTGAAGTTCAAGTGATATCGAGGAAGCAGCACAAAATACACTACTCATGTCGTCCATCTATATTTTTATTTCGTAACTGGTGTTGAAATGAACATTTAATCATCAGCTATGAAACATTTTACTTCACTCAACTGGTTACGTGAAGTACACTACTATATCCTATCTAGTATGCTGCTTACACAGGGTGTCCTCGAATAACGTTCGTATACTCCGGGAGGTGATTCTTCAGGTAAAAATTAAATAATATATTCCTATCAACATTTGAAGGTAGGTCATTTAATGCAGTTTTCTTCAATTATCTTTTTTGTCATTGGTCCTAGAATCACACGAAATTCGGTACCTAAGGGTGATTCGATCTTACAAATCGCTTCATTTTACGGAAAACATGATTCAATATACAGGGAGGAGCGAAACTCGTAGCCAATGCTATAAAAATGTTCCAACTCCTTTACTTTGAAGTTTCATCTCATTTATTCTACCAAAATATGATTCTCCAAACACTTTCATATAAGGAAGGTATTCTTGTTGGAATGCTGTAAAACGAACCGTTTTCGGGAAAAGTGTCAATTTTCATGTTAAAGTCCGAGAAAATTCACAATCATTTTGAGTGCGTGAGCTCCTATTATGAAAAACTAAGAACTTGATAATTAAAATTTCACATTTCCACTTAGTTTCAACGTTTAACTGTTGAGAAAATGTCTCTCTAGCTCTAGGGCTCTAAAGCCCTCAAGAAGCATTTTCGGACACCTATTGATAGAAACATGTTTATGCTCCCAGAGTATACGAACGACACTCTGGGATACCCTGTATACTTGGTATGTTCACCTGACCGTGAAAGACACTAAGTGCAAAGTCAATGTCTGTCTTGGTTAGGTTCACATATTAATCATAATTCTAAATCACTCAACTATACAAATCTTATTCATCTTATTTAAATATTACTATTCTTGAATATTTGTAGGCTTTCATATGCATATAATTATATGACATTATCAACTTGTTTGTATGATTGTGATTATTCATGTATTCGGCTATACTCGATTTATCTTATCTACCATAGTTTGGCTTATATGTGTTTTATCACAATCATTACAACGAATCTTGTAAATTCCAGACTTCTCAAGTGTGTCCATATTATCGCTTGGTTTACCCAATAAATTGCTCAATTCTGAACCAGACTGTTCAACGATTTCAAAACCTAATTATAATCAAGTCCTTTTGTATAGCTGCTTTTTTTTTATCGCTTGGAGCGCACGAAAGGGAATCCCTATAATGTTCAAAGAACATCGTGCGTTCCTAGGGAGGATAGGGACAGGAGGTAGGTATTGGAATTTTTTTTGAATTTTTGGAGATTATATGTTGTTGGGAATACTTCCACAGGCAATGAATTCCAGGGCCTAGCCGTTCTATGGATGAAGGAGTCTTGATAAGGCAGAATCTTGATGGGTCAACTTGAATTTATATCTAAGAATCATTTTATTTACTATTTTGATATCGTAAGCATTGACGCCAACCACTTTATAATCATTCGACATTGAATATTTGTTTGTGCAGAGGAAATTATACTATAATCTATGTACTAGGAAATTCAAATACTTGCTATTCTGTATTGAAAACAGTTATTGTTATTTATTATGTGTTGGTCCCTTTTCTAAGAACATCAAATTCCGAGTTGTTTTCGCTATTTTTAATTACGAGAACATCTTTGAACGGTAATTGACACTTATGTTTGCATTCAAAACTCAATTCAGTAGAGGACTTGTAAAGAATATCAAAAATATCGTCAAAGTTGAGGAATGAATACTCAAATTTTTCTTTTTCGTTCGCTTGAAACCGATTCATGAACAGCCAAGAAAGGCGATGTACAATTCCTCATGGCCGTATATTTCATGATTTTCAAAGAATTCTTGGTCATACTGAAAGATATTTTGGCTTGTGAGGTTGACTGATTCCTAAATAATATCAGAATCAAGGTTTCATGTATGTCTTGAGGAAGTCTCAAATTATGTGTAGTGAAAGGGGGAGTAGTCTCAAAGATATGGTGGTCAACAATTGATTCATTAAACCGATTTTATCTGAAGAGAGTGATATATGTTCTTCAAATCTTTCTACAATGCTTCGACGTGTTTCCCAATATTATCATCATTTCATGTTACGGTTCATCATTATATCTTGATTAGGTGTATTTTGAAGCGTCTACGCGGTGAGTCTGTTAGTATCTCACACAATGAACAAGAAGTCAGTGAAATTTTTCACATGTTTTTATTTCTCGAGTGATGCAACTCAAAACACATAATTTTTTGTTCCTCTTCACGTATCTGGCTTCGTTTCAGAAGAAAATAATGAAAATCGAACCTAGGCATATCTCTGAACTCGATGAGATCGTGTAACCATGATAGGATAGGACAGGAATTTCCGTACCTATTAGAATAGCCAAAATAGACCATTGCCCGCAGGGAGGTCTTGCTCATTCAGGTCCACTCATACTCAACCTGACGTTATATTCACTTACTAGAAATGTCAATGACATAAATCATTTTAGAAAATAGTTTCCGGACATATGTTTATATATGTAAACTTTCTCCTTATTTCGACCAAAATAATACGACCGCTAAGTTTCGTGCAATCCTGTACATTATTATTTATTTATTTATTTATTACAACTTTCGGATACAAACAGGTTCAAAACCCAAAAAAGTATCCGCTGATACAATATTTTACATGACAGCTCGTATTATAATGAAGTGAGTAAAAATATGATAGTTAAAGTGAAATTTGAAATGTTGAACAATTTTGGAATTTTAGGTGAGAAATATTTTTTTAGCTCTTTGTTTGAAAGTGAATAAAGATATACAGTAAATATCAATACTACAATATTTGTTAAAACTACTACTTAACCTAATAATTGGAGAATTACGGCCTAAATTTGTATTTCGATAATCTATATTGAGAAAGAAATTATTGCGAGTATTCCTAGGAGGAATATGTATAGAGAAAAATGATAATAATGTTGGACAGTCATAATGATTCCTTAAAACCTTGAACGTGAAGACTAAGTCAGTGATTATTCTTCGTTTTTCTAGTTTCAAAATACCAAACGACTGCCGAACTAGATGAATATTTTCAATGTTATAGGTTCCATTTATTTTAAAATTCAGAAATCTTACGAATCTATTTTGTACTTTTTCTATCCGTAGTTTATATACGGTATATCCTGGATTCCAAATCACACTGGCGAAATTTAACTTGCTGTAAACAAATGCAAAGTAAAGAGATTTCAATGATTTCTGAGTTTTAAAACTTTTACAAATTCGAGTGAGGAAGCCCAACATTTCATTACATTTACTTATTATATAATCGTAATGTTTGTTGAAATTCATTTTGGAATCTAAAATAAGCCCTAGGTCTTTGATTTCCTCCACTCTCTTCAAAATAGTACCTGACATATTATAACTGAATTCAAAGTTCTTGACGTTTTTTGTAAATGAAATAATGAAACATTTATTTATGTTTGAGAATAGTCTATTCTTTTCGCAATATTGTGAGAACCTCAGAAGATCAGAATTTAGTTTTGCACAGTCCTCACGAGACTCAATTTTAGAATAATTATTGTCACGAAGAAGTATCAATAATGAAGTCATCATGATGACTGATATTTTCTTTTCCTATAACCACTTCAATGTCGGTAGGTTCACTTGACTTTTGAAAGAATTTTTTCCACCACTAGCTCTAGAACTTACCATTATTCACTCCTCTTCAAGGAGTAAAGTGTGTTTTCACTAGGTACCAAGGACATTGCCCACCTCTGATAGAATTAACCCGAATTCACTGTTCTTATGCGGGATTCGAAGGAATGGCACTCGAATCTAGTAGGTATTTATCAACGACTTGTCCTATGCTGTCATGTCATGGCTACTAGGATTTAATTCGAATTGAAAAAAAGTGCTTTCGTAGTGACAATAGGTCCATATTTCAGTTCCACATAACTATTCGCGGGAAATGTTACCAGGTGGCGCTCGGTTTTCATCGTTCCATGTCAAAGCCACGTCAAAACTGGAGGAAAACAAACTCAATCCTCACTCAATCCCATTAGTGCCATTAGCTTGTGTACTGTGTACTGATAAGAGTAATAAGTTTTGAAATTTCTTGACATTAATTGTCGATATTCGATCGAAAACGCTAATAATGCCTGTTGTAGATGTTCTTTTGGCAGATATTTTGCTCTATTCAGATGAAAAAAGCCGACCAGTAGTGGAAGGAGAAGCAGTTCTCCGTGCTAATCATGTGATTTTGTGTGAGGCAGGAGACTTCAACAAAAGGCACATCTTTGCACTTTGTCTACAAACTTCGGCGATGAAATCTTCCCCACATGAAGTAAAATTGAAGTTTGTGTCCAGAGGAACTCCTGTAGAACAATGGATTTGTATTTGTTCATGCAAAGCAGGACAATCTGGGAATTGTAAACATGTTGTAGCTGTTCTTTTATATGTCAATTGATTTGCTCGTTTGAATTGTTTGAACTATCTCCAATTCTTCACCCGTTCACTGTTCACTAAACTAATAAAAATGTAATAATGTAAAAAAATTAACCAACTCAACCATCATCACTACCAACAGTGCCAACACATTTATGTCATTGACAAGTTTGACTACAGTTAGACTACAGCTACAGCAAGCTGAATGCAATGTAGTTGTAGTCTATGCACTTTATCCATAGACAAAAGTTTGTTTTCCCCCAGTTTGAAGTTCGTATTCTGTAACCTAAATGTCGCCCACTTCGTGAATCTCGCGAATAGTGATTGAAATATATATTGCTAGTGGTGAAGCAAATGCATGTACACATTGGTAGTAAAGAATAATATTACCACGGGATCTTATACCCCTCGAATGAAGTCTCGGGTCCCTGGGCAATAATGATATTCTTTGCTACCTTGGTATGAAAAACGTGAAATGGATGTCCAATAGATTTTTATACATCGACGGCACACACAATTTCAAGCATGCAATGTGCATCCATGTTTTGTGTGTACAATGAATTTCCATTCAATGTCTGTGGAAGTTGACTGCGAGAAAAACTAAAATGACTGTTTCAGTATCTTTTCCGGTGAATTAATCTGAAACCTTGAATTATTGCCATTATTCAAAAAATCATCTCACATTGAACTGGTGAAGGTGTGAATCATTTTGGATTATTTTTCCAGGCCCACATCTATAACATTACAAAGTCCATCGGACAATTCGTTTATAAAGAAATTACAAACTTCTGGTAGGAGTCTAGTCGTATTTTATGGTAGCCAAACAGGAACAGGAGAAGAATTTGCTGGCCGGTTAGCCAAAGAAGGAGCCAGATATAGGTTGAAGGGTATGGTAGCAGATCCTGAAGAATGTGATATGGTGAGTTTCTTCTAGATTCTATTCATAAAGTTCGTAAGGGTTTTAACAAAATAAATACATCATAATTAAACTCTCAGGAGGCTCAAGGTGTACTATTTAATGGCACCTCTTCAAAAATACATATAGCAATCAGAAGAAGATTTGGAGCAAAGCCTCTTTTTGCACTAGGAATTTTACTCATCGAGAGCTATTTCATGGTCGCCCATTACTGGATATGAGATGAATTACATTGCATAAGTTTTGAATTAGGGCTTGTCACTGATATTCAGGAGGAAATATTTCAAGAAATCTGAAAAATCTGTGACGAAATGGTTGAGAAAATATAAAAATGGAATTTAATAGTCAGCGTTGATCATGAAAAGTAACACGGTGAATATAACGTTGAAAATGGAATAATGAATTAAATGCAACACAATTTTGAGTTCTAATGTTAACAATATGGAATATTCCGATTTGTCACATCATTGCACGCGTTGCACTTAATGAAATGAAGTAGGTAATAGGAGCTTTTAAATGAACATTGAAATAATAGCAACAAGAAGATTGCTCTTAAAAATAAAAAGAAGGAATACAAAACTAGAATGAAACTTCCGAATCTATGAAATTTGAATATTTCTCTTCGCATGAAATATCAACCTTATCTCCAAATTCCAATTTCGAAAAATATATTATAATTCCTTCTGATTGAACTTTTGGAAAAATGTGTGTTTGAAAGAATTCCCAATAATAGATTTAAATTTCAATTTCATTCATTATAGGTATTTCCTTCTTTCAGAAAATTTACCTATTCCTTATCAAAATAATATAACATGATAATATGTCTTCAGTGTCTATTGTTTTGGTCACCGTTGAAAATATGCCTGCACTCTTTCAATGAAGGGCTAAAGAAAAATTCGTTCCATCTCTCATTATTCAGATTAGAATAGATAATGCAAACATTTCAAAGTCGACTCACCCCACCATTGCAATTTAATCACAAACAAGTTCGAAAGCCCAATAGAAATACTAGATTAGAATGGTCAACAGTGGAGGAAAAACCTGGGGATCAATTCATGTGGACACAGAGTTACTAGGATTTTTATAACCTTGACGTGGCGTACTCATTTTGTTTTCTATTCTTGTTCAATTTTCGAGAGATGAAATTTCTGGTTAACTCGAATATTATGGGAATTTTGGTTAGACCAAAGCATATTGCCGTGTTCAATATATTATATGTATTAATTTCGATGACACCCTCTAGGATCTTAATAACACAATAACATCTGTAAGACGTCGTAGAAACATCCATATGGGATGATAGGAACATCTCTGGAAAATCCCTATTTTCCTTGGGACATTCTTGGGATGTTGCTGGCAACACCCGTGTCAGCATTTGCGATGTCTTATAAACATCCCATCAGAATGTTTGTGGGATGATACGGGATGTACCAGAGACATTCAGGGTACTTGATATGGAACATCTTAAAGAAACTTTTATATAGGATGTTTTTTGTTTGATGACAGTTATGGATGACACGGTTTGAATTATTTTCAATTTGAAATCCTGAAAATGGCCGACCTATTTCCAGATATCAAGTAACAATCCGAATCCGAAAATATAAGGTCGGTGCGGTCCAGTAACTAATGGAAGATGATAACAGTTGTTTGAGGCTCATATTTGTTGGCGCTGGGCCGACGGCTGTTAGTAACTCTTAGCAACGTAGTTGTACCGCCATCTATCGGCTGGTATAACAAATAAATTCACCAATAAATATGCTGAAGAGATATATTTTGATTTTGTCGTTTATTACATGGTTCATGAAGTCAGGCAGGTACTTTGGTAATCTTATTGAGGAATATTTAGTATAATTATCTCAATTTGTTATCGATGAAATTAGCCGGCTTTGGTAAAGGTATAAGTATATATGTACGAATACAGTTTTGATTTCCATTTTTTATCAACTTTTCAATGTTTCCAATGTCACAATTGTTTGAACTGTTCAATCATGTCAATCATCATCAGCAGATATGGAGCCATGATATTGTTTATAAAAAAAGATCAAATGGGATGTTTCTGGAACATCCATTGAAAACATCTGATGGATGTCCCAAGAGAAACATATCTGGAATATCGTACTTAAGTCTGAAACATTGGGACATTTGTAGGATCTCAGCGGGATGTACCAGCAAGATCCCGTGTTGTTAGGGGAGTCCACTCTTATGGTGAATTTATGCCGTAGTTTTAAGTCATAAGTATCAAGTCGTAAGTTTCAAGGTACTAAATTTAAGTGGTTAGATGAACATGAGTATTCATGCAGCAATCATAAGGACTGTGATTTTGTAAGAAAAACATTTCGCTATTGTTTATATATAAGTTTCATAGTTACTTAAAGTAACACGGAATTATTTTGGATTTAATTTAATAAAAAAACAAATAATATAAACAAAACTATGATAACAAATAGAAGCGCACCGCTCAAGCGCAGAGCAAATTGGTCATAAGTTTCAACTTATGACTGTTCATGACATGTGTATCAACGTCATAAGTTTTGAGTCTTTAGAGGTGAATATTGGCCAATTATTCCTACGACTCAAACTCAAATCCTATGACTGAACTTCCTGAGACTTGTGACAATACTTATGACTATCATTGCGTGCTCCTTCAACAATATACTTACTTATTTTTCATCATTCAGATATAATATACTTACGAACTTTATGAAGGCAAGCAGTTGCAAGCAAGTTGACAATATTCCATATCATCTAAATTTTATATAATATTTCGTATCCTTCTAGGAAGAACTAGTTAATTTGAAAAACATCCCAAACTCTTTGGCAGTTTTTTGCCTAGCTACCTATGGTGAAGGTGACCCAACTGACAATGCCATGGAATTTTATGAATGGTTACAAAATGGTGATGCTGACCTTAATGGACTGACATATGCTGTAAGTAAATTAGTTGATATACCGTTGTATCCATTTTGGTGCCAAGTTTCTCAGTTGTTATTGAAGATAGATCCTCACGGGTTTCACGTTCCTGTTCTACTTTTTCTGAAACTCAAGATGGCGGGATCAGATTGAGATATAGGGCGATTTTAAACATTTATATTTTTTGGACCCATTCCATATTTCCAAAGGAATGTTGCGCTACGGACTACGTCTAATAGAGAATTTCGCGCAGAATTCAGTAGCATACTCAATTTTTCTTGGGGTAGCTATGGTTTTGGAGATATGACAAAACATATTTTTTAAAAAACACTGTATTCAATACTCAGCTGTATTCGTTATTTCCAATTGGTGGGAACAACCCACTATAACTGATTCTTCTCATTCTCATATATCATCTATTTTTATCTCTTGAGGCGAACGAAAAGTAATCCTAATAATCTTCAGAGACAATCGTGCGCACCTAGGGGATAGTGAGAGGAAGTAGGTATTGGAATTGTTCACTGCTCAATATGTTCCTTCTTTTCAAAATTTTCTGGGCAGTTTCGTAAAAAGTGTTAAAAGTCACTCAGTTCTCTCCTATATGTATATTTCATTAGTGGAAGTGTTGAGTACTCACGGTCAAATCTTTGTTTCAGGTTTTTGGATTAGGAAATAAGACGTATGAACATTATAACGAAGTAGCTATTTACGTAGACAAACGACTTGAGGAACTAGGTGCTACTAGAGTTTACGACCTTGGACTTGGAGATGACGATGCGAAGTAAGTGGAACTTCAAAGGCACAATTCTTGTATTTTACAGGGTGGGGCAAAAGTGCATCATTGATCGAGTCCTGTGGTAGGTAGCTAGAATAATGAATCAGAAACGAATCTAAACTAAACAGGGTCATTTCAAAAAGGTATGTCCACATATACCTATAGAACACTTAAAAAAACTAGATAGCCGAGGGCAATTTCCTTGAATAGACAATCAAATCTAGAATATTATTTTGCAGATTCGAAATATAAACATCTCTGACGTCTTAGTCATTGATACTTAAAGGAAACATCATTGGAGTCATTAAAAAATAGATGTATCATATTTGTGATTCATTCTAAAATTTTCGAAGTGTCAGAATAAGTATTCAATAATTTTTAATCAATGATTGAATTCCAACTTCCTTCATGTACAAAATAATTGGTTGAAACAAATTTTTGAAAATGATCCAACTATACAGTGCCTTGCAATTGAATTGGGACACCTGAAATGTTTGCTGGAATTCGTAACATTATAACTCCACTTCTCAGATTCCATTGTCTCGATAATCTTGAATATGACATACAGGGTGCTTCAGATTCAAATGTACATACAATACCTGTAGATAGAGGACACTTTGATGGTTTCAAAATCCCCCCATTGATGTGTCTACCATCTTTATTAAGTGAGATTGGCAACCACTTTGTATAATCCATTTATACTTGGTAGAAATATATTCCACTAATATTACCGATCATAACTGAATAAAAACCGAGATCAGATTACAGATCAATCCTAAAGAAAAACAGAAAACTTCCCTTCATTTCAAAAACGACACTGTATGGCAAAATTTTATAGATCTGTTTCGATATTTGGAAAGAGCGGGAAAAAACGAATAGACATAGCTACTTTACCGGATCGCTCATCCATTTAACATTTTTATTATTATTTTTTGAAATATTTCGCTCTAATTTTGAGGCACTTTTATTGATCTCCTAATTCAAAATCGAACTCTTATACAAAAATATACGTCTTCAAAGTTCAACATCATGAAAGTCAAATTAGGAAATTTATTTCTAGATTTGTTCGTTTGGCAGAATAACTTAGAAATTTTCGAGGGCTCATTCTATTATTCCCTATAACACACAGGCCGGCTATTCTCCCTAGTAAGATGTACTTTGTTTATTCACTATCGAAATGTATGTCACAATAGTATGTCAATTCATGTGAAACGGAGAGTGAATAAAATATTTTTATTATTAGTATTATATTATTATTATTATTATTATAATTCATAAGCTGTGGTAAAGTAAGCTTTGCAAAATATTCAATCATTCTGACAGTGCATAATCACTAGTGTGATATTATTGATAACGTTATCGTTGATATAATTGTTGGTGCTTGGATTGTGTTGTTACATTTCAAAATGTTCATAAAAATTATGCCCACATTACATTACAATAAATTCAACTTCACCAATTATATCACACTAGAAATTATGAGCTCTTTGATTAATTTTTTTTGCAGAGCCTACTTTACCGCAGCTTATGAATAAATAGTGAAGAATGAAATGAGTCCTCGAAAATTTCTAAAATCTTTGAAAATTTATATTCGTTCAAAGGAACAATTCTATCGATAGTGCACCTACTTCGTCTCTAGTGATGTTGAACTTTGAAAAATGTCACTTTCTTGTATTAAAGTTCAATTTTGAATTACAAGTGTAATAAAAATGTCTCAAAATAGAGAATAATATTTCAATAAAAATCAATTAATGAAGCATATCTGTCATATTGGATGCTCGCTAATGAAAAGAAGGTGACATTTTCAATATTTCCTTGCTCTTTTATATAACGATACAGATCTATGAAATTTTGCCAAATAGAGTGTAATTTTTGAAATAAAAGAAGTTTCGTGATTTTCCTCAAGATGGACCTGGATTGTGATCACTATTTTCATCCGGTTTTGATAGGTAATATAAGTGGAATATTTTTACCAAGTATGAATGGATTATACAAAAGTGATTCAAAAATTTTCAATGGCGAAATATTCAGAAGAACCAATGGTAAATCGTTTTACCAGCAGATCACTAAGACTTGTGATAATTACTGGTATGAACGTCATTCCAGTATGGGAAAGTCGGGAATAACAATAAAAAAATATTTTCATTTAGGAATGTTCATTGAGAAATAATTATAAAAATATAGTAGGTATTCATGTATGATACGGTACAAAACATTCAATACACATGGCACCTTGACATATTTTGCACTGATCACTGCTTCTCTCCTGTTTACAGGGTTAGATGTACATTCTTTGTACCTGTGAAATGTTTTTAGTTTTTCGAAAAGGTGACATTTTGCATAAAAAGGATTTAGAAATTAGGAGAAATAGAATGTTACTAAGGGAATACACTGAATGATATTGATATTGATCGATTTAATGAAACAGGAAAGAAAACTGATGAATAGATTTCGTATTTTGCCCAGTTCTTCCGAGCGCATGAATATAATGGCTTGTGAATTCAATGGTATACGGTTTGACATATATATTAAAAGGAATAGGAATAAATTGATGAGCATAAGTCTCGAAACGGTTTTGTTATCATTTTTTAGAAATAAGATGTTTGTCACAGATAATATTCGCATCGATGGAATCTATCCGTTTTTCACTAGAATTCAATGTATTTCCATAAATAAATCAACTGATAATTTTACTATACCAATATATTGACCAAATTATTAGACACACAAATGCATAAAATATTATGAACGATTCAAAATCCCAGGTAACCAGATGACGAATAATCACGTCACTGTGACGTCCCTAATTGATTATTTTTCGTCAGAGACGTTACACACCAATTAATGACGTCACTATGACGTACTTTCTATGAAGTGATAGTCACGTCATCGTTTCGAAGTCGAGTGAACGTCACTCAGATGGGTAAAAGAAGACGTCAGTTTCATGACGTTGCAGGGACGTCCTGTCGACGTCCATTTTTCCCGGACCTTCTCTAAACCATGGATACTTATATATTATTATGTGAAACAGAAGTATAACTCATGAAAACAAATCAACATGAAAGTGTTATTGGTACCTTTTTCTAAAAAACTTTTCACACACTGTATATTTCGGAAACCAACAAGCTATGTATATATACAAATGATTGTTAAGGTATATTGAAACCGTTACTCTTATGACGTTGCAGTGACGTATCTATGACATCTAAAAATCACGTCGGTGTGACGTACCAATTTGGAAAGCTTAGTCATTCAGAAATTTGTTCAATAATTTGCTATATAGATTTTTGTTGGGTGACAGAGAATGCATCAGTATACATTATTCAACAAAGTGAAGCCAAATTCGCCAACATCCTTTCCATTGCTATCAAACTATTCTTTGTTTGCTTACATTTCGCCGACACAAACTACATAATTTTTGATACGAATACGAGTACCTGATTGCATTCTGATGGAGATGCATACTGAAGGGTAGCGCTGCTGAAAAGGCAATTGAATCAACATGGCACAGGAGGGACCCACCAAGAAGACTCAACAATTTATACTCAATACCCATTATATAATGTCATCAGAGGCCAGGGGTGTTTATCACACCATGTTAAAGGAATCTTTTTTACGTATCATCACCAAATTTAATCGTCATTTTGACGTCATTATGACGTCAGTCGGACGTCACAGTTTGGTGAGTGAATGACGTCAATAAGACGTGAGTAATATGACGTCATTGGGCTGTGACTTATTCACGTCATTATCACGTCATGCGACGTCAACTACTGACGACACCTTGGTCATTCAAGTGACGTAAAACAGACGTCACATAAATATATTCAGATAGCTTAAATAGCAATGTGAATAAAAGGAATCAAATTAATCAAAATCTAGATTTTCATTGGATGTGGAGATAAAATAAAATTCAATAAAGAGAAACATCAGAACAGAGAATGAGGTAGAGACGTTAGAGAATGATTATTTACTGTCCAGCTTCCACATTGATTCATTACTGAATGTCATCGATCAATTAACATTCTTGATTATGACGCATTTCAATGAATTCACAGCTCTGGTTTACTATATATGAATGAATATTCCAATAATCATACTGTTGTTCAGACGATAAGGAATCCTTCCGAATTAGGTGTTTGTATTTAAAATAATTGCCGATTACATTATTGCGCCAATACTGGTGACGTAGTATCTCTCATATCATGACATTAGGCTTCTCAAAAGTCGACTATTTTTGAACTAATTAATTAATTCAAACCATACATTTGCATTGTTCTGTATAATTTATGCAAAAGCGAATGGAAATGAGTCTAAAATGTCCTGTAAAATATATTACAACATAACATGAAGTGGAAATGCTCAAAAATACACAAAATCATCTCCATATACCATGAAAAATCACATCAGGGATAGTACATGTTTTGGACATCCACCATCAGCCATTAGGAAATTACAATACAATAACAAAAAGGAACTGAGTACCATCTCTTTTCTTTTCTATTTTTTCATAACGAGCGAAACTTTACTTTTATAATCTTATTCATTGTAATGTCAGAATTAAATTGATATATGTTACAACCCACGCACAGGTATATCCTTCTGTGGGAATTCTATATTTTTTTATCGTTATTTGTAACTATTGTAATTGTAATTTTCGATTTGAATGCTGAATAAATATTATTATTATTATTATTATAAAACAAATTGCATATAATAATAGTTGATCCCTAAGTTGATTCAAAAAATCAAACATAAGAAAGAACAAAATCTTACTTTTCTTAGAGGAGAAAACGCCTCCAGATATGTATCTTTACCTTTCGAAGATGAAAATATTTTTCAAGAAGTTTCAGGTATCAATAAAAATAAGTTGAGGGGTTAATTCGAAAAACTTCATATTTTGGAGGATTTAAAAATCGAAAGAAAACTACTAAACAATTACCTTGTTCTACGGCTATAACACAAAATTGCTCTTGTTTAACTGTGTTATATACATCAATGAGGTA